GCGGAGTAAAGATCAGGAAGGGAGTGGGAGAGGGAGGGAGGAAAGACCAAGGAATAACAAGCTTCAGGTTCCTTCAAGAAGTTAAGCCCAGCGTTAACTCTTTCTGTCCTTGGAGGCTGCTGAGGGTGGCACTGGAGGAGCTGGAGAAGGAAGGAGATTCCCCCAGCCACCCTCCACAGGCAGCACCCCCAAATCCCCTGCACCTGCCCGCCGTTTCCTTTCTCCTTTTGTTCTTCCAAGCCAGGTTCTCAGCTGAGCACTTTATGTGAGAGCCTGGGTGGGGTGGCCCTGCCCTGCCCACAGAGATGCCCTAGGAATTTCCAGTCTAAGACTGTCGGCAGCCAAGGCCTGGAGCAAGTCCTCCTCCTCCTCCTTCCAGGTATCGAGGACCATCAGAGTTCCTGGTCCTGTCTTGTGTGACACTGATCCGCTGACTTAACCTCTCAGAATGGCCGCTTCCTCCTTCTGCAGTAATATCTTGCTATGGCAAAGCTCAAATTAGACAACTTATGTATGTTGAGCTTTGAGGCATGGCAGGTGTACAATGAAGGTTAGTTTCTTTCAGGCTCTTCCTAGCCCCCTTTATCCCCCAGAAAAGATTGTCTCTTGTGTTGGAAACATACTAGATCTCTCATTTATCATCATCCATCCATCCATTTATCCATCCATCCATTTATCCCTCCCTCCCTCCACCAAGCAAGTATTTAGCACCAATTATGTATACAGCCCTGTGCTCAGTGCTAAGGATACAGGGGTTAAAATGCTGCTGCTGGTGATGGTAGCAAAAGCTGACATTTGCTCAGCACTTAGTACAAGTCAGTTAGTGTACTTCATCAACTCGGTAACTATACCGTGGGTTAGGTGTTACTAATCCATTTAACAGATGGGGGAACTGAGGCCAAGGGACATGGAGCCAGCCAGAATTCACACATGCATTATGGGTGCCTTAAGGGAGGTCCAAGCCAGTGCAGAAGTCCTGGGTGAAGGGCACCAGGCAAGGGCTCCTGGAAGAGTCGACATCAGAGCGAAGGCATGAGAGCTCAGTCTTATTTGGCCACAAGGTGACAGGGGAAGGAGCACAAGAAGAGGGAAGAGTGAATGAAGGCCTGGAGGGTGGCGCGCATGTGTGTGTGTGTGTGTGTGTGTGTGTGTGTGTGTATGTGTGTGCACGTGTGCATGTGTGTATGTGTGTTGAAGAGGGCAGGTTGTGGTTTGGAAGAAATTGTGGGTCTTACCTCTGGCCAGACCCTCTGTCTATTGGCACCTCCACCCCTCCTCACCCTGACTGCACGCAGCTGAAGATCAATGCATGTTTCTGAGGTTATTCGAGTGTGATGATCTGTGTGTGCCGGAATAAGGAGGCAGGGTATCAGGAAGAACGTTTCAGGCAGTGAACAGTCTGAGAAGAGACACAGAAGCGTGGGGACATTAAGAGAACAGAAGGTTCTGTGTGGTTGGACTGTGGGTTTGCAGGGGACAGGACTAAGAGCGGATAACTACACTTCTGGGTGTACCACAGCATGGCCTGGGCTGTCGTGCCACCGAGACACTCCTGGAGCCAGCAGAGCTTTTATGAGAACAACTCCTGGTGCTTTCTGCAGGGTGGTCCTAGAGGTCGGAGGGACCCGGGTTGAGGGCTCCTGCAGCGAGGGCAGACTGGGTGGGATGCTTTAGTAACACAGGTCAGGCTAGCCACCCCAGCCCCCATTCAGGCATGGCTCCTTCACTCCCACACGGTGCTCTGCCACCTGCCCAGGGCAAAGTAAGCAAGAGGCAGGAAGGACAGAGAGACACAAAGGGTTTCAGACACTCTGGACAATGCCCCCATTCTATCTCACCTTGGTGGAAGCATCTCCCATGGCCTGAGGCTCTTAAGGAGCCACAAGAAAAATGAGGCCCAGCTTCACCCCCAGGAACTACATTCACCACGTGTAAAACCTGCATGCCAGTTTACCTAACTCTCCACACCAACCCTGCGACTAGGCTCAGGGCAGTGAGGCTGCCTGTTTAGAGTCACATGCCTTGTGATTAGCAGAGAGAATGCAGATTTGTTTCCAGGAAGGCTGTGCCCTTGGCTCAGCCCTCCATTCTCTGGGCTCCTTTGATGGAGCTGGGACAAAACTCAGTGTTTCCAAGTGGGATGGCTACTATTTTACTGAGGCCCTCTGACTTCCCCTACAGCCCTCTTCCAAGACATAGGCGTTCAGGACCTTCGTTGATTCTTTTTTGAGGCCCAATGTTGGGGGCTATTGCATCACCAGTGGCCAGGCTCCATCAGTGATGAATTCATCTCAAAGTGGTGTCCCAAGGTCAGTGGGAAGCCTCCAACTGTCATATTTGTTACAACAGCTTCCCCTTTGCCTGGCTGTCATAGCCATGGCCCTACTCTGCCAGGTCTTATTCAATAATTTGGTTTACCCCACCCTTCCCCTTTAATTAATGCTGCAGATAACTCTGCTTTTTCCCATGGCTCCTAATGAACTGTGAGTAACATGTGACAGGTGCGTGGCTGGCCTTCTTCAGTCTTTGTTGGGGCCTTCCCTGTGACAGGTCTCTGTACTAGCTCAGCAAAGAGTCACTACCAGGAAACATGTACCCTGCCCTTTGTCCATTGCCCCTCCTGGACAGGGCCATCAGAGATTGGCTGAAAGTCCTCAGGGGAGAGGAAATGGTCTCTGGCTTGCAAGAGCCAGCTTGTCCTCAGAAGCAGGTGGCTGATAAGCTGGAGATAGGGCTGGCTCCCAAAGGGTCACAAAGGAGGCTTTTAGGAAGTTTATATCTGAACATGTGGGGCAGGCCTTAAGACAGCGGTCTTTGAGGCAACCCAATGTTGTGCAGGCTGGGCCTGGGGTCCACGGGGGCACAACCCCAGGGGTCCTAGAAAGGCAGGATGGCTGGACATACCAGGGAGCAGCAGGAATTATTTGTAAGATCCAAGACTGCCCAGCCTCGAGGAGAGAAGACAGGGTGAGGGTGGGACAGTCATCAAATCCTTGATTGAGGAAGAAAGAATGTTCTTTCTCAAGGACAGAGAGGACCACAGGATAGCGGGGCTAGGGAGGCACCTGGGGCTGTTTTCAAGATGACCAGCCTCCCTCGAAGAGAAGTACCCCTTCTGGGTGGTTGGCGTGCCCTGAGTCAGTAGGGAGGGGTGGACTTGGGGGTTGGACATCTTGCTTACAGCTCTGAGAATCTCAGACCCCAAATCCAACTCCAGGTGCTCTGACCGCTCCCCTCATCTTCCATCGCCTCTCCAACTGGGTCCACAAAATTTGTTTTATACATGTGCAAATCCGGCCCCCTGTGCACCTTCAGAGGTACCTAATGTCCCTATAAGATGTCAAATGTCAAAAGGTGCCTAAATGTCCCTACAAAATCCAGTTCTCCCTTTCCTCTTCTGCCTCAGCTGTCACCTCTCCTGCTTCGCAGTCAGCAATGAGCCAGACTCAATTGTTTTCAGGTCCTCAGGTGGGCCCTGCAGTTTCTAAAATCTCCAGGCAGCTCCCACGCTCTTGCTTCTCCTAGGCATATTCTCCCTGACTCCTCCTCCTCACTCTACTGGTTCAGGCTTGTTTACCTTTCAAGCCCTAAGACTGAACTTTCTGTGTGAACTCTCATCACAGACAGGATCAGGTCCCCTGCAAAGTGCCTTAGATATCACAGCACATGTCATGCTGTGTTGCATTCTCCTGATAACCCGTCTTTGTCCCCACAAGACTACAGGCTCCCTCAGGGCAGAGACTGTCTGTATGGACCTGGCACAGAGTTGGCACTCAACAAGTATGTGTTGAAAGAATAGATGGCTGGCTGGATGGTAGATGGGTGGATGAGATGCCCATAAGATAATTTATAAGGCTGATGCCAGAGAGCCAAGCCCTCCTTCCAGCATGTTCTGGAGCTAGTCCCTGGAGCTTCAGGCAGGACATATAGGTGCCATTGGACAGACAACCAGGCAAAGAAGTGAATGGGTTTTCATCACCACCAAGAGGGTGTTGAGGAGATAGGGAGTAACCCTTCCAGAGCTGGCCCTGTCCATCGGCTGTGGCTGCTGGTGGCTGGGCAGGGAACCAGGGAGTATTCTGATCCTAAAAGGGATCTGAGGCTCATTTATACACAATCGGTCCAAGAACCCCCTTCTTGCATCACCAAGTAGCAAGGCCCATTCTTTCTCCTTCTAAGTCTCCAGGCCCAGGTCTCTTTAAAAATTGTGATAAAATACACATTGTGTAAAATGACCATCTTAACCTTATTTATTTATTTATTTTGAGACGGAGTCTTGCTCTGTTGCCAGGCTGGAGTGCAGGGGTGCGATCTCAGCTCACTGCAACTGCCGCCTCCCGGTTCAAGCGATTCTCCTGCCCTGAGTTGCTGGGATTAAAGGCACGTGCCACCACGCCCAGCTAATTTTTTTGTATTTTTAGTAGAGACGGGCTTTCATTAAAAGCCCTTGATCTCTTGATCCTCCCTCCTTGTCCTCCCAGAGTGCTGGGATTACAGGAGTGAGCCACTGCGCCTGGACCATCTTAACCAATTTTTTTTTTTTGAAGATGGAGTCTTGCTCTGTCACCCAGGCTGGACTGTGGTGGCACAATCTTGGCTCACTACAACCTCTGTCTCCTGGGTTCAAGCAATACTTCCACCTCAGCCTCCCAAGTAGCTGGGATTACAGGTGTTCGCCACCACACCCAGTTAATTTTTTGTGTTTTAGTAGAGACGGGGTTTCACCATGTTACCCAATCTGGTCTCGAACTCCTGACCTCGTGATCTGCCTGCCTTGGCCTCCCAAAGTGCTGGCTTACAGGCGTGAGCCACCGCACTCGGCCCCTCTTAACCATTTTTTTTTCCTGAAAATATATTAGATTTTAATCTTTAATATCTAACATGATTGCTTTAGGAAATTATTTTCCTGAACCAAAATACAATGCTAATCACATAAAAACATACACATATAAAAGTAGTTCTCCGTTTTCCCAGGAAAAAAATCCCAGTGTAACTTCTAAAATAGTCAAGTTTCTTATTTTAATTACCATTAAAGTCTTGGTCATCTCATGTACTAGCTTTGCAACTTACATATTTAAATTAAGGAAACATTAGACAATCGTTACAATTTATAAATAGAAGGTGCCATTATTGAGTAAATATATTCCTCCATGAGTGGATGTGTCTCTTCTCCCACCAACTAATGAAGCAGCAGTATACTTTAGTTTAATTTTATTAGTAGATGATGCACTGCTGCAAATGCTAATATTCGTCTCCATCCCTGTGTTGATTTTGTGTATATGTGTGAGTTGGTTAGAACACATCAACAGTCTAGCAATCAACAGCAAGATGAGCTAGGCTCGGGCTTTCGGTGAAGGTTGACTGTGTCTGTCTGAATCAAGTGATCTGACCTATCCTCGGCAGCAAGAACTCTTCGAGCTGCTCCCTCAAAGGCTGCTGCCACATTTGTGGCATCTTTTGCACTTGTTGTGAAGTAAGGATAGTGGCCGTTGTCCCTGCACCAAGCTTGGGCTTCTTCTGTAGACACCTGCCATTCGCTTATATCAATCTTGTTACCCAGAATCACAAAAGGAAAGCTCTCAGGTTCTTTCACATCTGCAGAATATATGCCTCTGTAAAATGGCATCCTCAGGCTCCGGAATCGCTCCTGACCTGCCATGTCCCAAATCTGCATGGTAACAAAACGTCCATCCACTTCCAAACCTTTATTTAAAAACTCCACACCTATTGTATGGAAGAGCTGAATATCAAACTTATTAGTTACATATCTGTTCATAAGAGAACTCTTCCCAACTCCACCGTCTCCAAGGAGAATTACTTTAAAAAGTGATGATTTTCCTGCCATTGTTAATCTCAAGAGCTTCAAGAGCCCTCCTAGGTTTGTTGAGAAGATGCACTCATGCAACAGGGGAAAAGCATTTCATCACGGTGCCAGGCTCATTACAGGAGTGCAAGAGTGTCTTGTGGCCGGGGAAGGTGGCCGGGGAGCTCTGGGCTGGCCTGTCTGGGTGCTGTGAGGACAGAGGGAGAGTCGGGGACCTGCAGAGCAGGAGGCGGTGGCAGTAACGCAGCCAGTCTCCAGCTCCAGATGCTCCCGTCCAGCGCGGAGGGAACAACGTGGCCCCTCTTAACCATTTTTAAATGTACAGCTCAGTGCTGCTAAGTGTATGTACACTGTTGTGCAACCAACTTCAGAACTTGCCATCTTTCAAAACTGAAACTCTACACTCTTTAAACAACTCATTTCCTCCTTCCCCGCCTCCCTGGCAACTACCTTTCTACTTTGTGTTTCCTTGAGTTTGACTAGTTCCAATGCCCCATAGAAATGAAATCAAATGGTTATTTGTCTTTTGTGAAAGGTGTATTTCACCTAGCATAATGTCCTGAAGATTCATGTATTCTGTGGTATTTGTCAGCATTTTTATGGCTGAATAACAACCCATTCTATATATAGACCACATTTTGTCTATCCGTTCATCTGTCAATAGACATCTGGGTTGCTTTCACCTTTTGGCTGTTGTGAAGACTCCTGCTATATCTCTTTGAGACCCTCCTTTCTATTCTGTTGGATATAAACCAAGAAGCAGTGTTGCTGGATCATCTGGTAACTCTATGTTTAGTTTAGCGGTTTTTTTTTTTGAAATGGGGTCTTGCTCTGTCACCAGGCTGGAGTGCAGTGGTCTGATCTCGGCTCACTGCAGCCTCTGCCTCCCTGGTTCAAGTGATTCCCCTGCCTGCCTCAGCCTCCCGAGTGGCTGCGACTACAGGTGTCTGCCACCACACCCAGCTAATTTTTTGTGTTTTAGTAAAGACAAGGTTTCACCATATTGGCCAGGATGGTCTTGATCTCCTGACCTTGTGATCCACCTGCCTCGGCCTCCCAAAGTGCTGGGATTACAGGCGTGAGCCACCGCGCCGGGCATGTTTAGTTTTTTTTTAAGGAAATGCCATGCTGTTTGCCAAAGCAGCTGCACCATCTTACATTCCCACCAACAGTGCACAAGGGTCCCGATTTCCCCACAGCCTCACCAATACCCATTATTTTTGTTTTGTCTTTTTAAAATAGCAGCCATCCTAGTGGGTGTGTGGTATTTCACTGTGGTTTTGTGCTTGCTTCGGCAGCACGCACATTAAAATTGGAACGATACAGGGAAGATATTTCCTTGTGGTTTAGATTTGCATTTCCTTAGTGGTTAGTGGTGTTGAGCAACTTCTCATATATGTTTCCATTTTTGGAGAAAGGTCTATTGAAATTGTCTGCCAATTTTTAAATTGGATTATTTGTCTTTTGTTGTTGTTGGATTGTAAGAGTTCTTTATATAGTCTGGATATTAACCCCCTCTCAGACGTATGGTTTACAAATACGTTCTCCCATTCTTTAGGTTGCCTTTTTATTCTGTTGATTGTGTCCTTAGATGACACAGGCCCAGCTCTTTTGAGGACTCTTTCTCCCTCTGTTTTCTATTTAAACTTTCATTTGATATTTATTTTCAGCTGATTTCAGCTAGCTCAACATTGTGAGGAGGCTCTAGAGATAGGAGGAGGTGGTAAGATTAATGCTGGCTTCCAGTCTTTGGGTGCCTGAACTTGATTCCATTTATTCCTTATCTACCCATGTATTCATTCATTCAGCAAACACAGAGTTTTGGAATGAAACAGATCTGGCTTTAAATGCAGTGTTTCTGAGTCTCAGTTCTCTCTCTGTAAAGCAGGGAAAAACTGGACAAATAGTCAAAAGAGAAGATTTGATGCTCGCCCAGCAGCCTGCTGGGCCTGTCATGGGTGGACACTCCACGTACAGTAGCGATTGTCATTTCTCAGTGGCCAGCAGTGGGCAGATGCAGCTCTTCTCCAGGGTCCCTTAAATCTCAGGGTCAAGAAACCAATGCTTTCTGAGAGTTCAGCTTCAGTTTATTTTCCCAGGAGATCAAGTGCTGTTGACAAATCAAAGCAGGACTCTGACCAAGCCTCTCCCCACAGTGACAGGGACAGTGACAAAGTCTCCCTCCCGTCATATGTTCTGACCCTGAAGCCAAGGAGGCAGGGAAGACACTCTGCCTGGCAGGGAACCAAGGGAGCCCATGTTTGTGATGAGCAGCGTTTTTGTGAAAGACCTTTCACCAAAAAGAGCAGGGTTTAATCATGTTGTCCTGGGTCAGGTGGCATTAAGGTGAGCTAGCTGCTGTGCAGTCTTTGAACCGCGGAGCTCTCCGACCAGGAGGGCAACTGGAAGGCTGCCTCGAAGAGGAGTGACGTTGCATTGGTCCTTCCCCTCCTGCCAAAGACTCTTCCTCTTCTGGAAGCCCAGGAGCAGCTTCAAAGCAGACGATGTGGGGAGGGGTTCAGGACCCCACTTCTAACCCTGGCTGTGCTCCCACTGCCTGTGCCACCTGCTCCTGGTCTTTCTGAGTCTCAGCTGCCTCACCTGTAGAATGAGCATAAGAAAAATACCTGGAAGGGAGCAGTGTGAAGAAGAAGAGGCGAGAGCGACCCCCGGACCGACCAAAGCCCACGCGCCGCTGCATCCCGCGCTCAGCGCCTACGTCCCGCCGCCGTCGCCACCATGCCCAAGAGAAAGGCTGAAGGGGATGCTAAAGGAGATAAAGCCAAGGTGAAGGACGAACCACAGAGAAGATCCGCGAGGTTGTCTGCTAAACCTGCTCCTCCAAAGCCAGAGCCCAAGCCTAAAAAGGCCCCTGCAAAGAAGGGAGAGAAGGTACCCAAAGGGAAAAAGGGAAAAGCTGATGCTGGCAAGGAAGGGAATAACCCTGCAGAAAATGGAGATGCCAAAACAGACCAGGCACAGAAAGCCGAAGGTGCTGGAGATGCCAAGTGAAGTGTGTGCATTTTTGATAACTGTGTACTTCTGGTGACTGTACAGTTTGAAATACTATTTTTTATCAAGTTTTATAAAAATGCAGAATTTTGTTTTACTTTTTTTTTTTTTTTTAAGCTATGTTGTTAGCACACAGAACACTTCATTGTTGTTTTGGGGGAAGGGGCATATGTCACTAATAGAATGTCTCCAAAGCTGGATTGATGTGGGGAAACGCCTTTCCCTTCTAGTTTTGAGAGACTTCCTCTTGGCTCCCAGGAGGAGGGATTCCCTGACTTTGACACACATGGCCACCTTGGCACACAAAAGCCTTGTGGTATGGAAAAACAAATTCGTTTTTCTGTCCTCTTCTCCCTTTCCGTCTTTCAGCATAGACTTAACTCCCTTAAGCCCAGACATCTGTTGGGACCTGACCCCCAGTCATTGGTTACCAGTGTGTCAGGCAATCTGGACTTGCCAGTGATGCCACTGAGATGGCACCTGTCAAAAGAGCAGTGATTCCATTTCTAGATTGTGAATCTTCTTATCTGAAGATTATTCTGCCATTTTCATTTCACTTCCTGAAAGTCAGGGTCGGCTCGTGAAAAGTTGTTAAACAACATGCTAAATGTGAAATGTCAACCCTCACTCTAAACTTTCCCTGTTCAGAGCATCAGATGAAGACTTCATTGGGTTTTATAGTGGCTTTCTGATTTTTGGTAGTCCATCAAAGAAGGGAGTTTGAAAGTTGTTGTATACTGTTAATGATTGTCTGCCCATGTCCTGCCTGAAATACCATGATTGTTTATGGAAAGTATCTTTAATAAAGCTGGATACAGTTTGGCTTGGAAAAAAAAAAAAAAAAGAAAAATACCTGGAAGGAGAGCAGTTTATGTGACAAGATTCATGAAGAGTGCCTGGCACGCGGTTGCCCCTGAGCAAAGGCTGGTTTCCTTCTCCTCCCTTTCCTCCTCGGCCTCTGCTAGCAACTCCACTCTCCAACTTCCGCAGGTGCAGGTGTGCCTCCCCCTGGCTCAGTGTCCTTGGGGCTTCCACACTCTCCCCTCCCTGGCTGCACAGAGCCTTGACTTCTGGCTTGTGTCGCCCCCCTCCTTTTCCCTCCAGGAGAATTCTCTCATCCCTCAGGAGCAGCTCCCACCTGCCACCCTTGCCTAATATTGTAGTCTGTCTTGAGGACACTGTTCCCAGAGCCCCATTGAGGACATACTGGCTGCTCTGGTTTTTGGCACAGACTGTACTTACTTTTGGTGGTAAGCATTTGTCCCAGACATGTCCAACTGGGCCAGGAGCCTGGAGAGCAGAGCTGGGATCTGAATCACCCACCTTGGGTGGGTAGCTCAACGCGGACCACCATGTGTGCGCACTGCTTGTGCCCAGCGCTCTTCTTGGAACAGGGGTCTGAATGATGGTGGTGGCCAACAGATTGACCACACATGACTGACAGATGGACCCACTGGTCCCCTTATCAAGCATCCAATACTCCACCTTCCCCCCACTTCATACTGACCTCCTTCCTTCACCATGATGTCATAAAGCCTCTCACCATTTAATTTGCAAAGCATACAGGTCCCTAGGGCAGAAAGGCATCCGCGCTCTATGTCTGTTCCCAACCTTGACACACTTAACACTCTGTATGTGTGCCCTAAGGCGGGTACCCTGACCGTTCCCATCCCAGAGTGCTGGGGTGTAGAGCTGGAAAAGAGGCTAGAGATCACCCAGGAAAATTTGCTCATTTCATGCTGAGGAAACTGAGGCTTGGAGAATTGGGGAGACTTTTTTTTTTTTTTGAGACAGAGTCTCACTTTGTTGCCCAGGCTGGAGTGCGTGGCACAATCTCAGCTCACTGCAACCTCTGCCTCCCTGGTTCAAGCGATTCTGCCGCCTCAGCCTCCTGAGTAGCTGGGATTACAGGCATGTGCCACCACATCTGGCTAATTTTTTGTATTTTTAGTAGAGAAAGGCTTTCACGATGTTAGTCAGGATGGTCTTGATCTCCTGACCTCATGATCTGCCCGCCTCAGCCTCCCAAAGTGCTGGGATTACAGGCATGAGCCACCGTGCCTGTCCAGAAGACTTTTGAAGGTCACATACATTTGGCACATCCTGGACCTAGAACTCAGGGGTCTCCCTCTATTAATTTTACTTTAACCAGTTAATCAACATCAGTGAGTCCCCACTGTGGACCAAGCCTCAGCTAAGATTTTCACAATCATTCTTGCATTGAATTCACATCATGTTGTTTGAGACTGATACTATTATCATTGA